AATTTATAGCCATATGCTTATGTGTCTCTTTGATTAAATAATGTGATTATTTTGTGTGTTTGCACATGATGTACATTACAGTCACAAGTAAAACATAATCTGATATGAGATACCTTATTATACACCTTATTATACACCTTGCACATGACAACCACAATCTGAAGAGAGAGAATTTTTCCCAAAATTAAATTTTTTAAGTCTTACAAGGGGCAATTTCAAACCATTGAAATTTCTATACTGAAGTGTTTAAAATGACCAAAATGGAAGCTAAGGTAGAGTTTGACACATAGGCAGAGGGGAAAGATACATCTAATAATTACATCAATTCCTATATTCTTACTTTCTTTGCCCCAAGGTCCTAGGTGTACATCTCCCTATGATTCATATTGCCTTATTCTGCTTGCTCATAAGTATTCGGGCTTTCTCTGAATGAGGGAGTAGAGAAGTGCCCTTACCTGGAAATGTCACACTCCTTGGCCTGCCTGCTGCAGATGTGGCTGTGCTCCTGGAACTCCATCTCATGAACACATTAGATCTGGTGTCCCACGACCAGTGGCCAGCAGAAGTGTCCCTTTCTTATAACTGGTTTTCCTGCTTGTTCCTAGTCCCCATGGCTCTGGATTACCCAGGCAGTCCTCGAGGAGCTGGTCCTCTTGAGCCACAGAGACAGACAAGCTGGTTAGAGCAATTGCACTCAAGTCAACAGAGACTTTCTATCAGCTGGGTGGTCTGGCACAGAAGATCTAATTGTCCACAAGGGTATGGAGGCCCCAGCACCACCTGCAGACAGGTATGTTAGCAGCTACACCCATGTTTTCACTGGTTTTCTGTCTAATCACTGCTTTATGTTCCAAACATAATCTCTGTGCACATATAGATACTCTGAGCTCATTCTCTTCCAGGTAATCTAGGATTCTGCCAGTAAGTGTATTATGATGATATTCATGACTAACTTGTAGCTAGTGTCCTCCAAAGATCTCTGTTAATAACTATGCATTACTTGTAAGAAGAATCATTCAGGACACTTCCATGAACACAGATGAATTTATTAATTATATCTTTTTGGAAAGCACAGATAGTCCTTAAAAGAATAAGAGATGTAGGCTAGACATAATTCAATTAAATAGGAGGAAAAAGCACGAGAGTGTCAAGCTCAGATGACAGGGCAATATGGCAATGTTACATCAGTGGTGCAGGTTGAGAACAATGGGTCACAAAAGATGAGGAAATAGAGAGAGATTTCCAATAAGTAAACTAATGCTAAAGATAGAGAGTAGGGAGAAACCAATGACAAATCATTACTTTAACTCCTCAGACTGGACAGATCTGAACACAAATGACAATGCATCATTTCCCCGAAACAATGTGACACATTTAATCTGTAGAAAAATATGCATGATTCATTATTATAAAAAATTATTTCACTAGAATTTAACTGTATATTTTTAAATTCACATTTAAATTTTCTAATAAAGGTTCTCAGTGCTTGCAATACTTTAAACTCATAGTGCAGCTCTTGGAAAGATGTTTTTTTCTCCCACGATGAGAAGATTCGTCTAACTGGTTCTCGGGACATTGAAGAAGTATTATCTTAGTTCCTACCATGCTACATTCTTTTCAGAACCAATACAGACCATAATCCAAATAAAGATAAACTAAATGATGATGAATATGAACTGAATTACTATTGAAGAAGAGTTGTATTCATAGTCTAAATTTGTTTGATGATGTGTCTCTGGCTGAATCAGGCATAAATAAATAAATTAATAAAACGAATGAGGTGTGATGGTAGAAATTAGGAAAAGAAATTATGCCCTTCTCCAGATCATTTTACCCTTTTAATTTCTCTTTTGACCATATTAATGAATTTAAATTTATTTATTTTATAGTCTTTGACTAGAGTATAAGTATCTGGTTGAAGGGAAAATCTACCAAATGATGATACTAGCTTGGGGGCCTTTTTCTATTATAATTATAAATGTTAGTTATTATCAATAAATAAACCAATCAGCCAAATAAACAATCAAATAGATCAAACCAACGACCTAAGATTTTCAATACCAACGCATTTTGCTCCTTGGGGGGTGGTGGGGGTCAGGGAGTACAATTCCCAAGGTAGCTTAAGTCATAAAAGTACATCTTTCTATATTTATCTTATTACTCTTTCTGTCTATATAGGCATACCCATATATATTCAATTATTATTCTTGTGATTATGGTGATTTTATTATAGAGAAGAAAGCTAAGAGATGGTCATATTTGAGGTTCAGGTGTGGTGGGGAAAAAGCACAAAAAAGAAAAAAAATAGTTTGTAATTATACTGAGAAATAATATAGGGTTCACTTATCGATTGCCATCTTACAAATAATCTAAAGATTATAAAAATATAACAATGCTTAGATAATATACCAAAAAGAGTAAAAATGTAAATTATTATAAAATAAATTAATACTTATTTAATTATTAAATATTCTGCTATTGAGACTGTAGGCAGTATCTCAAATTATACAGGTAGCTATGCTATGAACACAACACAAACTCCAAAAGAAAGAGAGGGAATTTGATGAACTTAATAGGACATGGGAAAAATATGTTAGTAATGAATCAATTTACATATGTTTATATTTACACAAATAGGTAACAAAGTCAAGGTCATGAATCATTAGCTCCTATTAGAAAGAAACATGTATATTATAAAACTGATCCCTATTGCAAAGATTTAAAAAAACAGAAAAAGTATCAGAAATTATTATTTCAAGACTAGGGGCTTCCGGCGCTGAGAGAGGTAAAGTGACTTGTCCAAGCAGACAAATGAAATAGTGGTAGACAGGTGACTCTAATACTCCTACTTTAGTTCCCTTTCTTGTTAATTCAGAGCATTAAACAAATCAGAGCAAAAGATAAGAGTTAAGGACCAGTTAAAATGTCAATAGTTTCCATAATTGCTTCATTGGTGACTAAATCATTCATGGCTGGTAGATCAAGCTCAGAAATAGAAGTTCTGTTTGATTTGGTCCACCTCCTGCCTTCTACTTGTCAATTCAGATTGATCTTTAAGGTCTCCCATCCAGTGTGGATGAAATGCTCTATACCTTGATGAAATTGGTCTTACCGCATTTTCTACCTTTGCTAACAACTAGTTCTGAGGTTCTATCTTAACCATTTATTATCTCTGGGTTTCATCATTCTGTCAGTAAAAGGAACAGTTTGTATGAAGTAGTTAATGAGGGCCTTCTTGTATAAGCATTCCACAAATTTTTATTACCTTTTCAAGTATTAAAAATATCTACACATATCAGTCTGCACTATCTGTGAAAATTCTCAACCAGGATGATTTTTTTCTAAATATGAAACAACATTTGAGTAAAATTTTTATTGGAATCTGCATTGATTATGGATATCATCAAAACAAATTTCAAGCTTAGCTCCATATTATTCAATATAGTGTGAAATCATTTTCTAAATCAATTTCCTATTTCAACTTATGGACAGTGATAAATTTCCAAAGGGCTCCAATATTTGAAAGAATCATCTTTGAAGGTTTGAGACTACTCTGGATTGCAAAATGTACATGATTATTTGATTATTTGTTCACTGCTGAAGATTTTGATAATATTTAAATTATGTTTTTGACACATAAAGTGTACTTCTTTTCTCCCTGCTCCGACTTTTTAAATATAAAGGCTTCATATGTCGGATACTATGAAAAAAAATCTCATTAAATTTTTCTGCCTGGAGAAGAATTCTAGAGAATCCTTGGCAAGCTGTGGGGACACAATTAGAAAAACTAGCAAATTCCAGCGAGATCATATCCTTTTAAAGAACACCTTTTTAAAAATGGAGCAACTGTTTTCTTGAAGAAAATTCAGTGGAAAATTATCCTTTGTCCCCATCTCTCTGTCACATCCCCAGCAAAAGACTTAATTTTCAACATTAGAATCTACAGTCATTTGTGGTGGTGATAATCACCTTGAAATGAAATGCTTCTTGGAAACAGCCAGACACTGAGAATGACTTCATTCCTTACTAATGGAAGCAACCTCAGCTTTATTTTCAAGTGGATTTGTTCAGCTGATCACATCTCTCTCTAAATTGCAACAAAATGATAATTGGAGTGAAAATATCTATTTCCCCATAAAAGCGAAATTGAAATTGCATACCTTGATTTAAAGCTGTCAGGTGGCATGAGTTCCAAAGTATGAGTTGGTCCATACAGGTTTACAACATATAATTTTATTGTTGGGTTCACTTGACCTGCCTTTGAGAAAACGAAAGTTGTAATGCAAATATAGTAAGCATTAGAATATATTGAGCAAAAAAGAAAAAGAATTTTGATTCATTTACTTTTTTGTGTTGGGAGAAAAATGTTTAATTTCTTTGAAGTAGAAACGATTTTAAATTCAACAACTTGATTGCTTTCGATTGTTTTTGGAGATTGCTGCTTTTCAAGCACTTTCCTCAGACAATTAAAGGTGATAGGAAATCGCGATGACTTCATTCATTAGGCAGTGCCACTGTGTTCTTTCCCTAGAATGGCACCAGAAGGGCTGGCTGCACAGAACAACTAGTAGATAAAGAAACTACTTAGATTATAGGATATGAAATGTGACAGGAAGAAGATTTTGCTAATTTAAAAAAAGAAGGAGAAGAGAAAGAAGAAAGGATGGGAGAATGGGAGGAAGAGAGGGAGGGAGAAAACTTATCTAATTCAGGTACTACACGCTGAAAATTCCACAAACCCTAATGTATTCCATCACATTAATCTCCCTGGCTTTAAAAAAAATAAATGTTATTAATTACTAAATGAGATGACTCATTTGCATAATTGACCCTTGGGAGGTGAGCCACAGGCAGACTGACCTCTCTGAGTACCTGGCATGAAGAGTAGAAAGGCAGTGGTGAGGATATGCAATTTGAGTTCAGTGAATCAAAATTTTATTAAATAAATAACAACTAGCATGCATAGCAGTTGGTAAGTTTCTGGCATATAGTATATGCTAAAAGCATTACATGAATTACCTCATTCAATGTCCTTACTGAAGTTATAGATATAATTATAACCAATGAAAATGGAAAAGCTAAGTAACTGTGCAAGGTGAAATACCTAATAACTGAGGCAGCTAGTATTTAAACCCAGGACGCTCTTAACTGCAAAGCTGCCGTTGTGCTTTCAGTTCATCCCCAGGCAATGGCCTTCAAAGTTTTTCTAAATACACTGTGAGCAATGAAGGGGCAGAAATGGGAACTTTCACCAACATATCTCAAGCAATTTGAATGAATGAATGAATAACTGCTCACATGAATGAATGATGTACCGAATTAGTTGATTATTTGTGGAACAAGGTGCTTCTAAACAATGTGCCATCATCCTTATGATATGGCTGATACTTTAAAGAGAAGACTATATGAGATATACAGAGGAGAAGAAGGAAATTAAAAGTGAGTTGAATTAAAAGACCTGACAAAAATCTAAAGAGAACGATAAAACTGATTTAAAGATGACAAAGGATTCATGTTCACAGAATTGGCATTGACAAAACCCATCAAGACCTGAAGCACCATAGTACATTCCGCCAATAGCTAGCGGCAACTCCGAAGAAGTCTTTGCCAGATTATCAAGAGACCAGCACATCTGTGGGAGTGTGTCATACACAGGTCAGAAGTCCTGAGCCAAAGAAAGGAGTCAAGAGAGGCTTTTACTACAGAAATGAGGTGACTATTAAGAGACCTTATGGAAATGGTTTATACAGTAAAGGTTTTCCTGGAAGATAACTGGTGAGCTTGCCTCACATCAAATGCTCTGGACTCAGAATTTTTAAATCTTTTCATTGCTCCCAAACCCTCCAGTGCCTGAACATATTTGTTGGTCAATTTAGGTTTCTACAGCTCTTAGGAGTTTCCTTTCACACCGTTCTTGTTTTAATTTAGTTGTCATTTTCCTCCCTGAAAATATTGGCTTTATCCATTTAACTGTTAGACTGACCATTTCTCTAGCTGGATCAGGTATGTTCAAATTTAGAGCTGGATGTGGTATTAGCAGTGCCATCAAAGTGTTGTTCTTGGACCAGTGGCATTAATCAGCTTCACCTGGAACCTTAGAAATGCAAATTGATGAGCCACACACCCAGACCTAAAGTCAGACTCAGAATCAGAATCTCTGAGTGCGAGCCTGCAAATCTGTGCTTTAACAAAATTCCCAGATAATTAGTATGTGAATTTTGATAAAACATTAGTCTATATCTCTATATCCTTCTAATCTATCCATCTATCCATCCATCCATCCATCCATCCATCCATCCATCCATGTATCTAACTAGTACAGCTCAGTGGTTGTCAAAGGCTAGCCTGCATCAGAATCAGAGTACCCAGAGGACTTGTTAAATCACTGATTGCTCAATGAAGCCCACTCCAGCATAAGGCTAGTACCCCTGGCACTGCTGAAAGGACCACATTTTGACAACTGGTTTAGCTTAATCTGTAAATCAGAGAAATCAGAGTTCAAATTTTGACTCTGTTATTTAGTTGTTATGGACCATGGAAAGATGCTAAAAAATCCCCAAGTATTATTTTATTTGATTATCAAAAATAAGACAAGGGCCAGGCAGGGTGGCTCACGCCTGTAATCGTAGCACCCTGGGAGGCCGAGGGGGGTGGATTGTTTGAGCTCAGGAGTTCAAGACCAGCCTGAGCAAGAGCGAGACCCAGTCTCTTCTAAAAATAGAAAGAAATTAATCAAACAGCTAAAAATATATAGAAAAAATTAGCCGGGCATGGTGGTGCATGCGTGTAGTCCCAGCTACTCAGGAGGCTGAGGCAGAAGGACTGCTTGAGCCCAGGATTTTGAGGTTGCTGTGAGCTAGGATGACGCCACGCACTCAAGCCCAAGCAACACAGTTGAGACTCTGTCTCAAAAAAAAAAAAAATGAGACAAATACCTCTTGGAAAATACGTTGCAAATTATAAGTTTTGAGTCAAAGAAATTTTCCCGTCTGTAGATAAAAACATTTCATAGTTTTGCTATGTGGACTAACGAAAAAGATGATTTATATAAAGTGCCTAAAATAGTATATGGTAGTGAATTAAAAATGATAATTATTAAGATGCGAAATCTTCTTTTCTATATTGAAAAGCTGTGCTCATATTTTTTATCAGTGAATACACTGATTAAAGCAAAAGGGAAATTAAATTAAATTTGATCTTTCTGTGAACTTTTACTAATGATGCATAGTTATATGACATACTTTATTAAAGACATATCAATTACTATCATATCTTTTAAGACAGTTTTCTTTACATCAGTAACACTTATACATGTACAGAATTACTAATATCCCAATTAGCTTCCACATGAGCACAGATGAACGGTTGTGTACACATGTGGCCAATTTTCAGACAAAAAATGAACAACTCAACCAAACATCAGGCTGTCTCCATAATTTAACTGTTAAGAATTCTATAATCTCAGTTAGATTTTTATCTTTCCATGGAGTTTTGAAATTAAACACACATCAAAAGTTCATCTGTACTTTTTAATATTTGAATCATTTTAAGAGTTTGCAAATTAGAGGAGTTCATCTATTTGCTTTTTATGGTCACATTTGCCACAAAGACAGCAAATCCACAGAATTCCTTTCTCTATGATTCTGAAACACAAGCCTCAATAATAATTAACCTTATTTTACTGGCAACTAAATTGTCATTAAACGAGATAATGTTTTAATTAAAAAGATTAACCTGAGGTTACTGGGATAGAACTGTGCATCTCTTTTGTGCTGAATTGCTAATGATAGGGTATTTTATGAGTTCTGAATCATGCTGAATTAAGTAAAATACAAATATATTTGTTGTGTAAGTATTTCATTAGTAAATCTGACTACATTGGGTATTTACTGCACTCATTTTAAAGCACAATTTAGTATGAACTCTGTGCTACTGCAGTTTCTAAAGTAGCACTTTTTGAAAGTTTATTGCATAAGTAAGAACAAATCAAAATGATACATTTGTTACAGGAAAAACTATGAAACATTTTCCTTAAACCATAGTAGAAAAGAGTTAAGCCTGAAAATTTAAGTAACGCATTCACAATGATACTGAAATTTATTTTTAAAACATGGACCAAAATACAGATCTATTTTCTTTGAGTCTTATTATTCTTAAGTGCCTGGGCAGATGTTCCTACTAAAAATGGCTTGAGGACTGGGGATTCTTTCTCTTGGCTTTGCCTGCTAAAATATCTTTTTTCTTATTTTTAAATACTCTTTAATGGTAGTCATTAATACACACTTAAGACTTCCATCACGTTTTATATACATATATATATATAGAGAGAGAGAGAGAGAGAGAGAGAGAGAGAGAGAGAGCAAGCAGGTGTGAGGTTAAGAATGCTACCCATATATAACTAAGTCATTAAGAGTAAATAGAGAAAACAGAGCTCCACAAATATGTGTTAATTTGACAAGGAGATGTTTTGATTCCAGCTGCATCTTTTGAAATACAAGTTGACCTCTGGTAGTTTCATAGTGAGGAAAAAAATCAATAAATTTGAATTATTTCCCTCTTCCTAAAAAAACCGTGACTTTTATAAAATCACTAAGCCTTTTAGGATCTGTTTGCCCATTCTTAAAATAGAGACAATTGTGATAAAGACTAAATGAGAAGGAAAAAAAGTGAAAAGTCTCCCTGAAAACACAAAGTGCATTATTAGCACATGTGAGTTCTACAATTAATAAACAAACACTATTGTTCTGTTATGCCTATCTTTACCATTAAGCAGTATTAAATAATTAATTAAATAACGAATTATTAAATAATAATAAGTTGTCTGTGTTTGTGTCCAGTGTCTTCTGAATTACTGCTGACACGTTTCAATTTTCTCGGATGTTTCTATTTGTCCATATATTTGTCTCAGTATTGACAGAATTATGAGGCCTAGGAGTGCCCAAGTCTAAGCACCATGAGTCCATAATGGAGAAGGAATTCGAAGATGAGGTAACACATATGGCTTTTTTATGTGAATTACAAAATTCCTACTCCTCTTGAGAAATGAATTGCAAAAAATTGTCTCTTCCAGGGGGCTGATTTTATTCCCTTGGTGCAGTGCACTGAATATTTGGATGTGACTCTGTTCCCCTTGGGCAATGCACTGGACAATTGGATGTGCCTTTCACAGTATGTCACTAGATCTCCATTTTCTATTTAAATTGTCAGGTGAACTTTTATTGTTACAAGTAAATCAAACAATGGAAGAATTCATATATTTGAGAAATATTTTCAAGTTTTCTCTTAAAAAATAAAAGTGCTGGTATGCTGTATAGGCTGAAACTGTCACTCACAAAAACATGGCGAAATCTATAATTAAAGAAGTCATAAGTTCTTTTTTTGCAGTACAATAAAAATCTCTTGATGAATATGATTAATAGTTGTTAGGTTAAATTGTTATTTTCTCCTGAAGAGCACAGGGTACATGTGCTTTCTAATCTATGTTCCCAGAGAAGACCCTAAAAATAGCATTTTAAAATCACAGCATCAGTTCTGTGACCATGCCTTCATTGTGGGCCTAAAGTAAGGAGGCTGATGGAAATTTTCCTCCTTTGTCCAGCTAATGTAGTGTGCAGATTCAAAGATAGAAAACCAAATGTACTTGGAAAAAACAAAAGACAACTCACTAAAGGAATGGCTTAAAAAATGATTTCTAAATGATATCAGCATCCTCTCTGAAGAGCTAAAATGAAAAGTGAAATTATAAAGTTTTCTATGAGACATCTTTTCATGATTAAAATATAGGGGGCCTCATGAGCCTTTTTTGTGGTTGTTGTTATATAAAGATGGGGAAAATATGCATGTAAGAAGAGACCTTGAATAATTAAAGATGGCATACTGGGGAAAAACCAGCACAATCCAGATGCTTTTGTAACTGTTTTCTAGAGGTTTCACCAACACTTGAAAACATTTTTGCTGACTGCACAGTGTTTCCATATTTGCTTCATCTGATAAAAAAAAAATCCATCTATCCTAGCTACCCACAGCTATGATTCCACAGCAGTATTGCATAAAGTATGTTCTAGAGTATGCTCTGCCAAAATAGTGCTGATTTTAGTACTAATACTAATAAATTCTTTATGCTTAGTCTATTCTTTACTGGTGATTTTTTATGCTTAGTCTATTCTTTACTGAGATTCTTTATGCTCAATCTATTTCTTACTGGAGATTCTTTATGCTTAGTCTATTTTTTATAGGAGATTTATAATACACATTAACATATAGTTCATTAAGCGCTCTACAAAATCATCTGAAAGAAGCTAGATTTTTTTTAAGAACTTCCAACTTATTTAACCATGGCACGTTCCTCTGCCTCATAACACCTGTTACCAACTTGTAGGATAGACTTGGAGAAAACTTGCCTCTGCCTCAGTGCTAACGGCTATCTCTTCTCTCCCTCTTTTCAACTGGTAAGGTGAGAAAAAATAAGAATGAGCATCAGAAGGAAAGAAATATAGCGAAAGTGAAAGCTCCCACACCCCTAAATCGTCTCTACCTCTTTCTACCCAAGCACCGTGAATTGACTACTGCAAACTCCAAAATGATGTCTGATAATAGATGAGGGAAGCTTTTGTTTTTCTCCAAAGATAACTGATTGACAAACCAAGAATACTATCAATGAAGCCACTAGTGCAGAGAGAGAAGGAACAAACTAGGACTTCCACATTACTTACCTTAGGATAAGGATACTGCTTTCCTTTGGGATACAGCTCCCCAGTAAACCGAGGGATAACCATGGTTGGTACCAATGAGTTATTTATCATCAGGAAGGCAAGCCTTTCTCCATCTGGTGACCACCAGTGGGCGATGTGAGAACGCAGAAGTTCCTCTAGAATAAATGAGTGTTATTTGAGACCAACTGTAGAGATGTGGGCTCAGTGACCCACAAACATCTGTCCTTGAAATCTCTGTTGCACCTACATGTTCTAGACCCTCTGCGTTGAATTTTATTCTACTTTCCTGAGAATTCACTGTTTCTCAGTTACTCTTTTAATTCCAGGAAAAGAAGCTGAAAGAGGAAGGAAAGAATGAAGCAATGAAGTCAGAGGTTTCATGGATTGCCAGCAATGTAGATCAAGCAGATGAAAGCACTACTGGAGTAAACAGAATGAAAACAGTTACTAAAGAGTGATAAATGGTCTAAAACCACATCCACATCATCATTCATTCATATTTACATTCAATCATATTTCTATTCTCTCATCATCAAACAAAGTGGGTACCAACTAGATTCATCAAACTATTTTATGCTCTAAGCAACTTCAATAAGAAATACACCGGATATCTTTCATCTAACCTAAAATCCACTATCTACTTTTATATACCTGCTTTTTGACCCAGAAAGTTAACCCGTAGGAACTACATCAAAGGAGTCCCCATGCCCTCTGGAAACAAGAGGGCATGATCATTATGAGTTTTGGCAGGAGGTTAAAAGAAAGAGAGTAAAGTCAGGTTATTTATTTTCTTGGCTCCATCCTGCAATGTCACCTCAGGCTGGCTGTGAACTTTAAATGATGTCACTACTTCTGTCAATGCAGCCATCTCTACACAATTTTCTCCTTCTGTGTCTGGTAACAGCTCATCTCTGTGGTCATAAGGGTGGTAATAGCTTGGCTGCTACTGGTTTAGATTACAGCACTTTCCCTTGTGGTTTCCCTATACCTTCACCTTGGTAAATGTTCTCTTTGTAAATAAATACTATTCAAAGTATCATTGAAAGTGCCAATTCTTGGGACTCTGACAGATACAGTAATTAATGTCAGCAGTAGACTCAGAAAAGAAACTCTCAAAATTAGATTTTGAGATTAGGTTTGTCATATATCTTTATCTAGATAGATAGACAGAAGTATATATGAAATGTAATCATCACCTTTCCAGGTGGGAATTGGAGCATAGACAATCCATAGCAAGGGATGGAATCATGAGTGATTAATTGTCACTGGTGGTGACTTGGAATAAAATGCAGATAGAGGTAAAAGGTATTGGAAGAACAAGTGCTTGTGGCACTTAGTTGCTATAACGATGGTGATTGCAAAGATTGTGAAATATAGTTCACACGGGTCTTCTGATACCCCAATGACATTACACAGAAAAAGGAGAAATGGAAACCAGGATTGTAAAATTAGGAATGCACATACAGAACAAAAGGTCATCACGACATCTTTGGAACAGTCTCTCTCTTCTGTAGTTGCAGGGAAGATATGGCTGCAGTCCAAGAGAACATAGTAATGGTTGTGGAGCTGCAATACAAATTAGGGGCTCAATTCCATTTTTGCTTTTAAGCTAAGATAAAGATATTGGTAAAGAAAGATTGGGACCCTGATACACAGGGTAAGAATATTTGGGTAAAGGTAGGCAGTATACTTAGGATTTCTGGACCAGTCTCATAAATAACACATTTTGAGTTTGAGTACTGCTGTATGTGGATAATTTTATGGCTGAAGATTTTGAACCTCAAAATTCCCACAAGTCTTCTCGTTGACAGAGGCAACCTCTGTCCAAGGGAATTAGACCTCCTCTGCATAAAGGTAGAGAATGGGAGACAAATTTCTGTAAAGATTTAAGAGTCTGCAATAGTAGGGGTGTTTCTAGAGACCTAGTAGTCTGGGACACACTAGAATATCACATTGAGATGTCTTTTCTAAAGTGAGAGAAAAATTGTTGGGATTATGTTTATGCAAAAGCAAAAAGGAATTGGACTCTTTGGATTTAGATGACAACAAAAACCACATTCACATGTGTTGCTCTGCTCCATCTCCCAGGCAACCTGTAAAGCTGCCAGTTCCGAGAAGAACCTGAGTGACAGGGGTCCCTGCAACAGATCTAGGCCATGATGCAACCTTCTCTACCTCCTGTACCTTGCGATCCAGCAGATCCAATGGTTATGTAAGTGTTCGTGGAAAACAGAGATGTTGTATGGAGTCTTTGGCACTCCCCATTATCATAATCACAGCAGAGGCATTACAAGCTTTAGAGAAAGACCTTTGCCTCTTGTGTTGAAAAATATCTATTTCAAAAACAGCTTTCTCCTGGGCTCTGGTAGAAACAATTGGCCTAACCATGGAATACCAAGTGACTTTGCAATGAAACGGCTTATCATGGACTGATTGTTATCTGATCCACTGACCATAAAACTGAACACATACAGCAACATTCCACTACAAAATAAAAGTGGGATTGAGCCACAAAACATATGCGACTGCCCATAGTAGTTCATACTCTGCTTCATCCCCTCTCCTCATCTCACATCTGTGCCACACAGTGTGTTTTCTAACACGATTGGCAGAGGAAGAATGAAAGCAGACCTGGTTTATGGGCAAGTCTGCATGATGAATAAAAACAAGCTGAAATCAAGTAGGTTCTGCACCATAATTTGACTCAGAAGTGGTATCAAAAGACAATAATAAACATAAACTCTCCTGCTTGCCAGAATTTTGAACAGAATACTTAGTTGTCTACTTTTTGTGGAAGGAGACCTGCCTTGAGGCATGGATCCACCCTGACTCATGCACAGTAACTAATAAATGGCCACTTGATCAGGGATTTGGGAAGAGTAGAATTAGAAAATCCATGACAAGGAGGTTTAGGAAAAGATAAGTGAATGGACTTAATAGAAAGGGTAAAAATGTGAATATATTAGTGTCCCACTTAATGTCCACCAGAGCACGTTATAGCAGAGGAGGCTGTCAATAATCAGATGGACAAGAAGACTGTCCAGTGCATGTGGGTTAGCCTCTGGCTCCCAGCATGACCTGCCAATGGTAGTGACCATCAACGAGCCCTTCATGTATTGTCATTTCCCGGGGTGACTTGGTGACTACTTGGTGGCAGATGGATGGCATGGAAACCTTTCCATCAAGAAGGGGTAGCAGTTTGTCCTCACAGCGATAGGTACATGTTCTGGGTATGAATTTGTTTGCTCTTGCTGCTTACAGTCCTGCTCGGCATGACTATTCACAGACTTACAGGAAAACTTACCCATTACCATAATAACTCACACTACATTACCTCAAACAGGAAATATTTTATGGCAAAAAGAAGGGCAATAGGCTCAGTGCATAGCCAGGAGGTATAGATCTAGGAACTAAAGGGAAGAAGTAATAGTGTTCTCTCTCACTACCATACCAATAACTCGCTGGTTACAATTTGCTTCTTGTTCTCATAATAATGAGTTGGTGAATTTAGAAGTTCATTGCTTGAAAGAGGAGTGTCTCGAACAGGAATATAGTCATAATTCTGTTCCTCTGAATTTGAAGCTGAAATTTCCCCCTAACCATTGTGGGTTCATTATAACCAAAAACACAGAAAAACAAAACAAAACAAAAAACCAGCAAAACATAGCCACTATGCTAGGTCTTGTGACCGATCTGCCAGGAATAAAATGCGTCTTTGCCATACAAAGGAGGACAAAGGGAAATATATTTGGAACTCAGGAGATTCACAAATACTTCTTTGCCCAATAGTACTGGCCAATGGAAAACTGAAATTATAGCAACCTAATTTGCTAAGGAGTAAGGTTTGCCAGGAATAAAGTTTTGATTTGATCCACTTGTTAAATAACCTGTCTAGTTGACATGCTAACAGAAAATAAAGGGAAAAGGAATGGGTAGTTGAAGAAGCAACTATGATTGCCAGTTAAGACCACATGATAAGCTCATTTCTTCTTGCTGGGGAAACTTTCTCCACAACCATTTAAGAAAAATACAAATAGTGACTACATTTATAAATTTCAGATGTATAACTGGACTGATGCCATCTTGCAGTGCAACAGTAATAGATGGGACTATGTGTTCTTCTCCTTCCAGGACATAAACTTTTAATTTGAATAATAAGAACATCCCCACGTTTTCTGACTTTGTGTTAGGTATGACCAATATGAAACCCAGGCAAATAAAATGAAAGGAGGGAGAGAGCACGTGGAATTTATTTTCTTGGCTCCCAAGCATTGAAATCATGTGAGTCTGGCTTTGTTCAACCAAAACTCACTGCTTCTATTACTGTGAAAAATCTACAGGACTGTTTTTCTTTCTAGTTTCTGTTGACTGTTGCCTCCGCTCTCCCTGTTTGAGTGTTAACAGCTAAATCATTACTAGTTATAGTTTGTAGCATGTCCCATGTTCTTGATAAGTAGCTCCTTCAAAGACAAAACCTCCTTGAATTATTCTTTTTTGAATGTGCCACTTTTCTTCCAGCTGGGATCCTGACCCTGTATTATACAAATAACAATTAAGTCGAGAAGATGACACACTGAAGAAAAAATATATATGCTAAGGGCCAATCTGAGTGTAAACTCTAAGTCCTATGAGATTTGAAGGTACAAAGAAATCCTGTTAGCTAAAGTCAACACTCTGGATTTCTGAGAAGCAGGTTCTGTCATAGGAGCTGACATATGTGAACCCAGTATTTCCCAAGAGCAAGCCTGGCCTAGAGTTGAGGGCACTGTTCAGGAGAAATAAAGTACCACCTACTCTCATGTATTTTAGAGTGATTTATGCCTAATGCTCTTCCCCACAAATTGCTAACATACCAAAATAATACATAGAAAGAGTTATGTGACTTCCTCAGATGCAAAAATAAAGCTAACTGGAATGGGAAGGAGGTAAATAAAAGAATCTTTAATATGCATTTACTTAACAGTCATCCTGGATAAGGCACAGCTTCTTTAATCGAAACTAATGGGAACATTTACTCATGGATTCAAACTTCCTATGTTAATTATATTATTCACTAAGAATTTATTTTTACAAATTGCATTCCACTCCAATTTAGCATAAGTTTGGCTGTTCATCATTTTTTATTGCTCTGATTGAGAAAATCTCACGGCAGAGCAGATGGAGTTTTCAACACATGTGGGTTTATAGCACAGATACTGAAAAACACAGCCTCAACACAAAACACTTCCAGAAAAATAAGATACGACTCTTGTGTTCAGATTAGCATGCTATTCTGAAAAGCAAGTTGATTTTTTCCATTTTTAGTTTATTAACTTAGACAGATAGGATTTCCTAAGGATGCTACTGGCAACCCTGTGGGCTGGTGGTTGATTTTTTCCCCCTTTATTTTCCACATTTCACTGCCAACTTTCTTGGAAAAAATGTTTATATTCATACCCTGCTCATGTCCTACTTACACATAGATATACTGCTGTCTTGCTTCTGGTACCACCAATTTTACTCATCAAGGTTATCAAATCCAATAGTAACTTTGGAATCCTTATCTTGTTTGACCTCTGGAGACTCAGCACTGTTGAAAACCCTGTCTTCCTCTGGCCTCCATGGCTGCAGCCCCATGGATGGCACTTAGTAAGTGTTCAATAAATATTTGTTGAGTCAGTGATGATGGAATGGATACAATTTCATGTGCCCAAGACAAGACAAAAAATAATGTGAAAGTAGGGCATTTTGCATTGTCCTCATTAAACAAAAAAGGTATAACAATTGGAATCTGCTGATAAAGATATTATTTGTCTTGTGTATTTTTTTCCCACTTCTTTATTCTTGTCATTCTTGAAGATCAATGCAAAGATCATTTCTTCTATGAAACACCTGAGATTTCTCCATAATTCTTTTCAGTATGCTGACATAAATTCTATTTGTAATTCTGTTTACCATGCTCTGAATGGCTCCTGATAGAATAGTTATTTACTCTTAATCACCTTACTACCTTGGAAATACCTGAAACATAGAAACCCTTATTCCTCCTAATATTGCTCTCGGGTAATACCTGACAGATATTTGCTCCACAGCTATTGAATTGAATTTCAAAGAACAATCCCTTAAAAAATATGAGGTTCTAAAATATATTTATAAATCATTTTGGCATATTAGTTCCATTATTCTGCATGCTTAAATAATTAAAAGCGACAGTCATTTTTTTTCCTATTTAATAGATTAAGTACTTTATGAAAATTTTCTAAGCTGTGAATTTGGTAACTAGAGACTTTACTTTTTTTAAATAAAATTTAAAAGTTTTAAAATAAAATTTTGATCTGATATCTAGTTATGTTACCATGCTAAATACAATTTATATGAGTAACACTGGATGTGCTTTGTGTAAATTATATTTAAAATAATCTTCCATTTTGAATATTTTATTATTTTTCTGAACAGTACCAATTGTTTAAAACATATTATATTTCGTATGTTTTTACTTTCCTTAGAGACTGAATAATACTAGAAATAGAAACAAAGATGCTTAAAAATGATGCTTTTAAAGACTTTTAAAGACTCAACACTAGTGACTGAGGTTGGGAGCAGCAGTGCTCTCACAGATTGGCCTGGCCCTAAAAAGATTAAGACGTGCCCTTAAAACTTGCCATAAAAACATTTAGTGTCTTTTATGTGCCTCTTTCTCTCATCTTTTTTTTTTTCATGACATTTACTGAAGGTAAATTTCAATTTAAAATAAAAGTGGAAATGTTATATGTTACTTCCTGTGTCTCCCATGCATGCTAATTTAGATTGTACTTGATTCTTATAAGTAATAAAAAGGAAATTTCCACACCAGAGTATCACGCACAGTGCTGAAGATTATGCACATTCCCTAGGTGATATCAGTGTGCTCTGGTGAGTATATTAAAGGGAAAAGAAAAGGTCTGGAGCCTGGGAGCTGTTGGTACACTGGACGAGCAAAGAGATAGTGGGGGATTTAAGGTGCATGTAGGACTCTTGAAGCATAGGCTGCGGATGGCAGGCAAAATGTTGAGGGGAAATCAAAGTCATCTGAACTGCTTAAGTCCCTCTGCCAGACCACACATTGATTTTGCTGGTAGAGTTTCTTCTCCTGGAAATACAGTGAGAATTGGAGTACATCCATGGACAGTAGGGTTCAGAGCCTTTGGCTGAGGAAACAGATCAGTGAAACCTGATAGGTTAGGCCCCCAAATGAGCGTTATCCCTTAGGGAACAATGAAAACCATGTGGCTACAAGTAGAGTAGACTAGTGATTAAGCATCAGCTTTGGACACAAAAGACAAACATTCAAATGCTGGTTCTCCCGCTCATTAGCTCTGAGGCCATCTCCATCCAACTCACTGATCCTCACTCAGTTTTGGTTTCTTATTAAGTGATTAGTTACACTGGTGCTGTGAGAGTTCCATCACATGCACACATGGAATTTCCCACCATATGTGCAACACAGAGCCCAAAGTACTGAGTTCAATCCAAATGGCAAAAACTCTAATTTTTCTATTTCCCCTTTGGAATGTGTCAGACCTACACTGCCATCACCAAATTTTTTGTTACCTGTTTGTCCTTCTCCCTCCCACAACCCCTGCAAACTGTTTACTCTCAGCCCAAATATATGTTTTTTTATATTCCAATTAAGAAAATTATCTTATTTTTCACATAATGGTCTATAAGTCTATAATTTTTCTACTTAAATTTTCTCCTTAAAAATGTAATGCCCATAACCTATATGACACTTTCCCAATAGGACAGAGGCTCAAGTCTTCTTGATCAGGGATCAAGTCAGCACGATAAGCACAGTCTACGTTGAGTATACTCCTAGTTGACTTAAAAGTTCACCTATGTTAAAGATCACATTTTGTCACCTAATGTCACATGCCAGCACACTGTGAAATGCCCACGTTCCCCCAAATCACTCCTTTCCTCCCTGAATTCTGCTGCTCCTTGTTAATGCTTGTTCAGTGTGCCTGCCACCACTATTTACTAGTGACCCAAACCAGAAGCCACAAAGTTGTTCCTGACTTCTTATCATCTACCCTGTCCGTTTAACCACTCTGACCTATACATTTTATTGCCTCATCAAGTTTAGAATCTTCCCTCCATTTTACTGCTTTAACTCTAGTTCTATTGCTCATTATCTCCTCATACAACATGGAAGCAGCCTTATAGCTGCTCATGGTTCTTTCTGCTCTTACATCCCAGCTTTACACTGCAGCCAAAACAATTTATTTACATGGAAGATCTAATCTTGTCATTCCCTTACTTGAAAAACCCCAATCGTTTCCCCATTTACTAGTAGCAAAATAACTGAAATCCCAGATCATCGTTAGAGGTCACTATTCCTTGGTTCTTACTGCCTTCCTGTCTCCAATTTTATGCCTCAATAACATCAGACAGACTGTAATTCTCTAAGTACAGGCCATGCTATTTAACCCTTCTATGTTTTCACAAGCTGTTACCTCTGCTTGGATTTTCCTTCCTAATTATTTTTCATGTGTAACATTTCTTAATTTTTCAGTCTCAACTCAGGAAAATGCTTTCAAATCCCTAGAATAAGCTAAATATCATTCCTTTGTTCTTCCATAGAATTCTGTGTTTACTGGTATTTGACTACTTACCACACTGCATTGACATGGTTTCTTCAACTGTCAGGGTTTCACACAATACTAACAACATTTTGAAGATAAAGGGCGTATCTCAGTTTCTGCACTCCTCTAGGTAAGCACTGAATAGCTTTTGCTATCTAGATTCCCAGAAGTACTCAGGTTTCCAGTGTGTTCTCTCTACCTGTTTCTTCAATTCAGTGAGCTATCCTAGGCCCCTCCAATAACTTATCTTTTTGAAACAGTAAAGTTAGAGTTAGCTTCTGTCACTTTCAGGCAAAGAGCCCTACTTACCAGTGTATTTCTTTTTTTAAAAAATACACTTTCTTAGCATAATTATTGCTGATATTTTCATAGTAGCTTTCACATTACTCTTCGAAATAGACTGTAGCCCCTAAAAACTTTTATTTGACGCTGACGTGTACATGGAAATCTACCACAGATGTAAATATACCTGTACACACATAGATACAAATCTCAGGGTTACATCTCTCCCTTAATAAAATAGCGCCACCTAGCAAACTCTTTCCCTTGAATGTAAGGTCCTCAGAGCAGAGTACATTTTTTACAGCCTGCTGTATATTAGCACTTAGGCAAGTACCCGGAATACAGTAGGACTTCAGTCATAACAGTTGAGTGAGAGAATGAATGAATGAATAAATGCTCAAAATGATTCACTTTTATTACAGTATTAAAAATACTGAGTTTAAGGTAGAAAGACTGCATTTTCAAATATTGCTCAAAATATAAAACTGGTTTTCTGGATGATTCTTAGCTTTAAAATCTGTAATCAAATAGACTAACTTACTTTAAATGTTAGCATGTTTTGCCAAGATCAGTTGCAGAATCTGACACCTAGATATTAAACTCCAACTTTGATTCTTCTCCAGTCAATCTGTACGTAGAACTCAGGTAATAATGGGTACATAATAAAAACTGGATAGAGACTTTCATTACCTGATTCACTTTTACATTCTCAGCTTTACTAAAAATTGACTCAATAGTTATTAAAAATAACTCTCCAGGTGGATTTTATTTTGCTCCCTATATAGGGGTTTATAAAATGTGACAAAATGTCTCTAATGGAAACAATGAAAATCAAGTGGCTTTCATGTATTTTTTGAGCAGTAAAAGTTTTTGTTTCTTCTTTTCCATAGAGTCAGAAAAATCTGTCATGTAATTCCAGAGCGATGTAAGGTGACCATTCACTTTCATTCATTAAGTGTCATCAAAAATAACATCCATCCAGCCTCCACATATACATATCTCTCAAATATGGAATCATATAAGTAGATGTAAATCATAGCCAGACAAACTGCAACATGCAAAGATATGAAAGCACGGAAGCAATTTTGAGAGGAAATGAGGAGAAGTCATAGCATTGCTCTGGAATGAACAAATTTTTCTTGTAGATTTTGTACAAAAACATGTCGTTTGTATTCCTTTGAAACTAAATCTGTTTGACTCACCTTCGTATAACCAGTCAGCAATCCCATTAAAAATTACTCCTTCTTTTCCAGAAGATGTCAGTCGCAATGAACTGCTCTTTATATCAGGTTGATAGTAGATATTATTTTCAAAAATATAAATCTGGATCAGGAAACATGTGAAACAAACAAAAAATACAACATGTTAGGATGCCATTTAAAACTTTAATATTACAGAATGATTTCTGAATAGCCAATTTGTATTATTTACATTCCTTCAAGTTTTTTTTTTTCATTTAATGGATATATTTGCAATGCTTTCAATGATTAATGGCTGTTTCACTCCTAATTGTATCAATATCAAGTTGTCATTTGGAAATTCCATGGCACTTGGTATTGGTGCATTCCAATCTATATGCTTTGCAACAAGATTTCATGTACTTAATAATCTCTCTCCATAGAACAAAATTGGTTTGGCTTTGGGATAACATTTTAGGTACTCAGGAGACTGATAACCAACTAGATGCCATTTTAGTAATAGCCAAGTGACTGTTTGAAAAGCTTCGATTTGGAGACTTTACTTTTATAAAAATGCATTTGGTGATCAATAAAATAATCTTTAGAGAATCTTTCTGATTCTATCCAGCTCAACTCACAAGTTCACTGATGATAGAAGCGATAATAAAATTTCTTTGAACTCTATGCACCTATCGTCTTTGGCAACTGTTTCTTAAATAGAATAACAGTAATAATAACATTGTGCCTGAGTTCAAGAAAGAGTTTTAATTTGAACACATCACAGAGTCTTCCAAAATAATATCCACAACCATAGCCCCAGCAACTGAAACAACAGAACAAATTAAACAATGTTTGTCCACATAAAAGTATGTGTCTTTGATACAGATAATTCAGGATAAAATTATTTATAATTCACTTTACAATGTCTTTAATGCCAAATGTTTGAAACTGCTGACGCCTATGGTATTATAACCTTCCACAGAATCAGTTTTCTGTGATTAGGGGCAGTAGAACATCGTCCAGAGCAGCCAAATTGGTATTTAAATCAAACATTCTGGCCGGGCGCGGTGGCTCATGCCTGTAATCCCAGCTCTCTGGGAGGCCGAGGCGGGCGGATTGTTTGAGCTCAGGAGTTTGAAACCAGCCTGAGCAAGAGCGAGACCCCATCTCTACTAAAAACAGAAAGAAATTAATTGGATAACTAAAAATATATAGAGAAATTAGCCGGGCATGGTGGCACATGCCTGTAGTCCCAGCTACTCGGGAGGCTGAGGCAGGAGGATTGCTTGAGCCCAGGAGTTTGAGGTTGCTGTGAGCTAGGCTGACGCCACAGCACTCTAGGCCAGGCAAAAGAGTGAGACTCTGTCTCAAAAAAAAATAAATAAATCAAACATTCTGCGTGAAGGTAAAGGATGGCCTAGGGCCCATGTATCCCAGCATGCTATGAATCAATACACAATAGTAGACAGAGCAAACACAAGAACTTCCAAAACAATTGCCTGAATAATTATGAGGTTCTAGACTTTAAATCTTGGTGTGCACAGTGACAAACACAATCTCAATATTCAGAAAATTTCATTGATACTTGATTTTGATTCTGGGGATTTAGCAAGCATTTATTGGTGGATGTATTTCATTAATCCTTTCACCACTACAATAGAGTCCTTTATATTATAGGTAAGAATTCCAATATCAGAATAAAAATTTTGGGAAAAAAAGTCAAAGACAAGGAAAAGAGGGCAAAACAGGGGGCTTAAAAGCATGGACTTTACAGCAAGGCAGGCTAAATTTAAAATCCCAGACCTTAATAATTTTCTTAACTTTCCTGAATCTCAGTCTCTTATGTGGATAAGATACCTTGCAGATCTGTGGTGAAGAATAAATGAGATGATAAATGTAGAATACATAACACATGTGGCTAGTACCAAAAGCAGGACTGATTGCACATAAGACAACAAGGTTCAAATCCTAAACAGTTAGAATTAGTTTTTGGCAGTCACAAATTATAAAAGAAGTGCTAGGATTATAGACGTGAGCCACTGCACCCAGCAAAATGTGTGTGGTATATATAAAACATGGAGCAATACTCACCGATAAAAAGAAACAAATCAATGTTTTTTGCACCAATTTGGATGGAACTGGAGGCCATTATCCTAAGTTAAATATCTCAAGAATGGAAAAACAAACACCATACGTACTTTCTAATAATTGGGAACTAATTGATGGCCACACATGAGCACACAAAGAGGTAAAAAAATCATTGGAAATCAAGAAGGGGGAAGAAGAGAGGTAGGGAGGGGTAAAAACCTACCTAACAGATACACAATGGGCACTATTTGGGTGATGGACACACTAACAGCCCTGACTTAAGCATTATAAAAGCTACCCCCATAACAAAAACATTTGTACACTCTTAATATTTTGAAATTTAAAAAAATAAATAAATAAAATGAAACCTCTATAACTTCAGCCAATGTGTAAATTATCTCAAACTATTGGCAAGTGGTACACATTAGGTTAGTGAAATATTCACTAGGAGTAGCAGGAGGACAGTAGCAGCATTACTGGTAATAGGAAGAGGAGGAAAAGGTGAACCAGAAGTTGCAGGAGAGGTACCAACAGATGATATTTACTGCCTTCGCTCCAGTCAGAAAGTTTTCAGGTAAGACTATGAAATAGGAAATAAGCTTATTATCAAAAGCATGTGAATGACACTTAGGCAAAAGTTTGAAAATTGTCTCTCATGTATCCTAACACTGACTGGAAGTTGGACTTGATGACTTTCACAGTCCCTGATAACTGAGAAAGAAATATTAGCTTTGTTCTAGCCCCCTAAATCATAACCTGTTCACCTTTTTCATACTACCTCCTCCTGCCTCTCACAGTGTAAGACATAGGTGCACAGAGCCTTCCTTACGTGGAAGAAGTCCCTTTACTGTACTGGACCCATCTAATAGGACTGGGAGTAATAACAGCACAGATCATCCACACTTAGGTTACTCAAGTACATGTAGTGATGCTTAGGAGTCAAGGTGCCTTCACTCAAAGTAATATGGTTCTAAATTCTCAGCTTTCCAAAGGGAACAAAGTCTAAGTCAAAATAATTAATAAAACCTCCACGACTACAGCAGATGTATAAATTATCTACCACTATTGACCAGTAATTACATTTATATTTGAAGAACAGATTGGATGACATTCAGAATCCATATGAAACTGACATCTGCCTCATGCAGAAGAACAAGCAACATGGAATCAGAATTTTAATGTCATTCCACTGAAAGCTGTAATACCAGAGAATGGCCATAAGATCTTTTTTTCCAGTGGATAGGAAATCTTGGTTGTCTTCATGAAAATACGCATTTATAATCTCCTAACCCGTTTTCAATTATCAAAGTTTTTTCTTGAATTGTATTTGTTCCAAATAATAATCACAAGCTCTTAACAACTACCTTGACAATTTGAGAGCTGCAAATATTTCCAGGTACTCTCTGGGTACTCTGATGAAATTAAACTGAATCCAAATGGCAATCATCAGGGCTGCAAGTAGGTTTAAATCACATTGAAAATATGACAAACACTGAAGTCATTTATCCTAATGTTATTGATTACACTGTCACAATATTTTCATACCATTAATCAATTCCTTCAATGAGCCACCAAAACAGCATACCAAATAAAAATGGATAGCTATTTGACCATTTAACTCTTCAATTTATAGAGAAAGCTGACTACCTAGTTTTCCAAAATCAATCATGCACCCAGAAAATAATTCCAAATTGGTAAATTCACCACAATGGAAACAGAAGAACCATTGAAATACTATGTGCTCACGTATGCCAAGTTAAGAAACATGTATTAAATGTTCTAAGAAGTTGTCATTGCTGGGCAGGAGTCCTTAAGAGCCAATTTTCAATTTGCTACCTTATCTGTTTCCTGCCACAACTACCAGCCAATGCTCCAGATGCTGGACACCCCAGTAGCCTGGATTGCTACATGAAGAGACATCAAGCAGACTCCCTCCCCACACTCAACCAACTTGTGATGAGCAAACTGCAAGAGATGAAGAATTGATAATAAAAGTCTTAAGATTTTGAGGGTGATAGTCTCACAATGTATTAATAAATTAGACTAATGTGACTGACACGACCTGTGACAATGGCTGATACAAACTTACAGCAGCAATGTCACAAACTTTTAGCCAGCTTAAACGAAAAAGAAAAAAATGTAATATAAAATGAATAAGATTGAACATTGTATCTATTTTAGCTGAAATATTACTGAAAAGCTATTCCGTTTTTTACTTAGTTGAGTGATTTTCATGACAATTTCAAATTAGAAAATGATGAATCATTCAAAAATGTCCATGTATTGCAGTGGTGTCAGAGGATCTGTAAAGTTACAGTGGAGTTGGGTTAGTATTTGGGTTGCCTTCTCCTGTGGCTTGTAAAGGATCTAAGGAAATTTCACCCCAAAATATGACTCTTTGATATAAAGAGTATTTTGAATTGAAGGCACTTAGAGATCAACAGGCCCCTGGAAGGGGCTTTCCCTCTATCTGCCAAACCACATGGACTCATCAAAAGAACAATAGACTTCCCTTCCCTTCCCTGTTATTTCACTATATTGCAGGAAAGATGATCAAGAATGCAACCAGATCTGGCCCAAATCATTTTAAAGATAGTACCTGTCTCTCAGGTTAATATAATTTACAAACAGAATCATTTTAGAAGTCAATGTTTCCTCCATCCATTCATCCTCCCTAGCAACCATTTATTGCTCTTAAACAGAATTACTACATTCCTCATCTCCCCTTCATCTCTAAAAGGAGTGTATAAAAATATCTGGATCCCATTGGGATACTGGATAATCACTCTGTGATTCTCCCTGTCTATACAGTAAATAAACCCCTTCCTCTTATTTATCTGCCTTAATTGTGACTTAACCTTCTAACGAACTTTCAGGGAAAAGGGGAAGTTTCCCCTCATCCCCATATTTGCTTTCTGGGAAAAAAAAATGTAATTAAGAAACTATCCCAGATTACACCTATTGCTGGCAGGGATGCGGTGAAAGATGTCTTTTTCTAATTTAATTGTGAAAATATAAAATGTTATGGTCATTTTGGAAGTAATATGGCAATTGAAA